CAAATATATGGTTATATATTACAATATTGTTATGAAGGTCCTCGTTTGAGGAACAAACATAATACCTTGAGGGTACTTAGGAGTATAGTGTTGGGATGTTAACTCTGCAAATGCAAAAGGGAGTAGGAAAAAATATATATAAGTTTTTACTAATAAAGTTATGTGAAGTGTCCATTTTTCATTACAAAACTAAAATTTCAAAGCTAACCTGAACACTGTACTTTTATCTCCTCATATATTACACTTTTTAACAACTTCTGATATTCAGAATAACCGATATCTATCAACAAAACAAATTTACCTATGTTAATATGACACTTCTGTAACTGTAGATCTAAAATAAAGATTTAAAAATTTTAATCCGAAGACTCTTCACCTTTACCATCACTTATGCTTTCTCTAGCATTCCCTTGATACTCAATTCTATAATATTTCTTTCTCCATGGGTAGTTAAAAAAACTCAAATGAACAAAAAAAAATCACGAAGACAAACGTTATCATTCCTTTGAAAGAGTAAATCTAGATTAGAAGAAAGGAGTATAATGGGAAACCTCAGAAAGTAGAGGAAATTAGGTGACCTCATTAAGAAAGACTATGCCAGGGCTTTATTCCTAATGCCCCAACATAAAAACAGGTCCCCTTTGCAGCTCTGTCTTGACATCCTGTAATTTCATCATAAAGCTCCACTATAAGAAAAACTAATCTAATCATATGAAGGGGCCCTGTCATGCAAAAATCAACTAAGCTCTTACTAAAGTTATTACATATTTTCTTTGAAATAACTCACATAGGACCAAAATAAAATTTCTAATAGGAGGTGCAGGTGCTGAGTAATAGCTACACACCTAAAGTATTTGAATAGAAAACCAAACTAAATAGACATATGTAGTCATTCTAAGTTGTATACAATGCACACACCCTGCTGTATTCAATTACCAAACTAACTGGCAGCTAATGTTTGTACTTTTAAAAATGCTACAATAAAAGCTAAAATAAGAATCAATGGGTGTTTCCTTTTGACTATTCATTTTCCACCTGATAATCAGTCTTTATATGCTTCATATGAGTAAAGAAAGTATGTTTAATGGCTGAATCAATTATATGAAGTTATGTAAACAACTGGAATTCCATCTTTTTTGAAGCTATATAGTACAGAGAGATATATTTCCAAAATTGCTTAAGATGGTATACCAGCTAATATCCATATCAGGAAAGAACATCTAACAAATTTACCAAGTAGGGTCTACATGGGATCAAAGGATGTAGCTAGAAAGAACCTTAAAAGGTTGCTTGAGGAAAGTGCTTTATAAACTCTAAGGTGCTACATATTTACACGTTATAAATATTTCATATATTGTGTGTTTTCACTATTAAGTAACAAAAGCCATTTTCTTATGTCTTCAAGAATCAATCTTTTAATTTACTTATATGCATACACATTACAAATAAAACACTCTACAGCAGGTAGTACAAGTACCTAAATGAAATTGAAGACTGTGCATTTAGAAAAAAGATAAATAATTAAATGAAAAATAAAATAACAAAATAAGAAATGGATAACCGGATCTCAGAAACAGAAAAAATGTAAGTAGTAAAGGAACTCCTATGAGAAAAAAATCCTAGATCTGTATGGATTTACAAGTGAATCATGTCAAGCATTGAAAAAATAAATAATACTCTACTATACAGTTTCAAAAACAGAGAAAGATGGCACTCTATTAAACTCTTCCTCTGAAATAGTTTCCAGTCAAGATAGCTGATCGATGGGACCATATTACTACAGGAACCCAATCACTTCAATTTTCACATTCTCACTATAATGAAATCAGAAGTCAAAAATCAGTTCATAGGTTCTTTTTGGAGAGGCAACTAAAGTAGCTGGCAGCATTGGCTTTTTCATATATCCAAAGGCAATAAGAACCACCATTTCATAAGCCACCTTACTGTAGTGCTAATGCTACAGATAATAACTGTAGCTTATGTTTTAATATCAATTACAAAAGGTGAAGAAGTAGAATAAATTATGAATAACTTCAAGATACTATTTTTCTTTTCTTTTTTTTTTTTTGGCAAGGCAATTGGGGTTAAGTGATTTGCCCAGGGTCACACAGCTAGTAAGTGTCAAGTGTCTGAGGCCAGATTTGAACTCACATCCTTCTGAATCCAGGGCTGATGCTCTATCCACTGTGACACCTAGCTGCCTCCAAGATACTAATTCAAATTAAATAAACATACGCTTTGACATTCAGTGGTTTTATTGCAAAGGTATGCCCAGGAAAGGATGAAGAAATATAGATTGGAAAATATGATTCAGGTGCAAGAGATGAGAGACAACAAAGGCTTTACAGATGGCAAAGAAGCATTATGCTTATATATCATACTTATATATGTATATATATACATACTTATATACATACATATATAATACTTTTGTCAAGAAAAGAATTAGATGACAATAGGCAAGGCAAGCATCAAATAACCTCCCCTCAAAATGAAACTGATAATATTTTAATGGACAGTAAATTATTTGTTACTGATGTGGGTGCCATTTCCAGCTGATTCTGCAGTCGGATAACTAACTTGTTATAGCAAAGGTCAAAATTAATAGAAAACTAAAAGAAAGAATAAAAATGACAAAAAGGTATGGTATTCAGTTGAAATAATTCCAAATTGGCAAATTTAAATAACACCAAACATGAAATTAATAGAATTGACATCAACACCAATTATAACAAATTCCTAAAGAACTTTATCTGATCAAAAGCCATAATAAGCATCCCAACTAAGTCTAGACACTGCCTCCACCAGCAAACATTTGATTTCCCAGACAAGCAGAAAGATATAGAAGCCTATATCTATAGTTCAGAATATAAAGGATTTTTTTGTAATTCACTTTATCTTTGCTATTTTACAGTTTTGGTGCACAAATAAACATACAATAAGGTTTATTTCATATTAATACATTAACTAGATTTTTGTTCAAATAAATAATATTTAATCATCTCCTAAGAATACATCTAGGATAAGGGGAAATCAAAGCACATTATTGCATATGGAAAAAAAATCACTAATCACGAATGAAGTTCAAAGTAAAGATGTGAGCGTTAAGGTGGGACTAGCTGTGGGTGCCTGTACACTTAGGATAAAGCCAGGATTCAGGAAGTGTCTCCCTACAGGGATGTTTGATGTGAATTCATCTAAAGGCCAGAAGGAAAGATGGGATAACATGTCCAATCTTCAGCTCCGCTCCTAAGTAACCTGGGGGAAAGGCAAAAAACAAAAAAACAAAACAACAAAACAACAAAACACGTACACACAAACACACACACACACACACACACACACACATATACACATGAGAGAGAGAGAGAGACAGAACACTGAGAATTCCTACAAGTGTGAGTAAGGAGTACAGAGGATCAAAGCCCAGCAGTCACGTGTATGTTCTGGCTCTCCATCTGAAGTCTACACTTTGTCATCCCCAACTTGTTCTGGACATTGCAGGGTCAAGTTCAAAAACCAAACAAAAGTGGAAGGGGAAGAAGAACAAAGTGTTTAATTAGCACAGGTGTGATACCCTTGACGGGATGGGAAGGGGAAGAAATATTATTAAAGGGACACCACTACCCATGTTGATGGTCACAATGGAAATTTACATTCGGCTATCATGGTTGAAGAAAGACTTGAGCGAAAAGGGAAAATGGGCACGGGCTGGAAGGGATCCTTGGGAAAGGAATTCAAGTCATCTTTCCAGATCTGGGAGATACTTTTGCTGGTCTGAGCTTGGAGAAGCCTGAGTTAGGTAGAGTTGAAAGTAGAATAAGTGATTAATAAAAGCTGACTAGCTGTTCAGGATCCTTGAGGGGAAGCTGCATTAATGGAGAGGTGCACAGTAAATGTAAGCAGTCTACTACACATTACGAATATGTAATTAAACAGGAGAACCAAGATAAATGATGTCATCAGAGAAATAGATGAATGTTTAAAAAAGAGATGATGAGTTGTTTAACAAAAGAAGAGGCTGATTAAAAAAAAGAAAACACCTGGCATGTTCCATTAGCATCTATACAGTGTCAAAAGAATGTGAGGAAAACAGTCTCCAGGACCACAACACACAATGCATTGACCACTTGTGGTGGATGTGTGGGAGGACACAGATTGGAGTTGCACAGAATAAAAAGGAATAGATTGGCCTATTATGTGTATCTCTCAAAAAGGCATCCACATGAATGAATCTCAGATTCATTAGAGTAGTGGGATATTTTTTTTAAAGTTCATATACTTTGACTCATACTGAACTTGTGATATTTTTGAGAGCAAGTATGCAGACTGAATAAAAACCCATTTATAGACAATCCCCTAATTATGAGACTATATTTCAATTTTCAAATAGAAATAATACTGCAAGAAGTGGTTATGCCTTAAGACCAGCCCTCAGAAGTCTGTTTAACCCATAATGTACGTTATATATACTCAAATGCAAATGGCAGATTAGATAGCCTTCAAAGTCCCTTATAACTCTAAATCTTTGATCCTGTAATCCTATCAACAGTGCCAATTCAGTACCCCCAATTACCACATGTAACGTTACTGCTAGAGAAAAATGCATTTAGAGTTCTAAGTAGAGATGCTAATATCACATTTTTCCCTTTCAGCAATGTCTGGAAGAGAGGGAGATATTTTTTGACATCAGTGGCTTGATAACTCTCTATATCTACATTTAAGGTCCTTCCCTATACACCTATAAAAGAGCAAGTCCCTTTGCATGCCTCTTTATCTATATCAAGAAAAGTACCCCCTTAGATCAATCACTATCCCAAGTACTATGTATCAGATAATAAAAGACAATTGCTTCATAGGAAAGAAAGAAAGTTTGTGGGGTAGGTGGCCTCCAAACTGCTTTCACCACCATCTGTTCTTGTGTTCTTTATGTATAAAATTGTCCCTAAATAAAAGACTACTTAATAGCCAATGGTAATTTTAAAGTGAATTATACTTACTCATCCAACTCTTCTTCTTCAGTTTTGGAAATATCAGCATAAAGGTATTTGCTCATATCCACAGGCCTTACATTTTTCCTTTTTGTAGGCTGGGGAGGAGAATCTCTTATAGTTACAAATGTTTCAGGTTCAGGGTCTGGCTCATCAAACGGATTCAAGTACTGTGGAGCCTGTACTTCTTTAAAAGGATTGTAGCTATCATTATAAAAAGATTCTTCTAATTTTTTGGATGAAATTGTTTCAGTAGCTGGTTCTATAAAAACAATTACAAGAAAGAAAGATTTCAAACAATATTAATATTTTAATATCAATATTTAGGGTTTTATAGTTATATATAAATTTAGAACAATGATAATTCCTGTATTAAAATTGTAGCAGGTTCAACAGAGTAAAGGATGAAATGAAAATACAGTTTTATATGGATTGACAATTTTACTGATTTCATATCTATGTTTTAAAAAATATACAAAATGTGATAGGTCATGGAGCTGTAATGGACCTTAGAGATTTCCCAGTTCCACTACTTTTACATCAAAAAACAAAAGCCAGTAAATATGAAGCGATTTATTCAAGGTCTTGTAAATAATAGGGAGCAGAGACAGTATTTGCGCTTATGTTCTATGACTACGACATTAGATAATTATAATGAAAAATAGATTATAAGTTCTTTTAAATCCCTAATAGCAAAAACATTCATTGTTATTTCAGATTTTTAAAATCAATGGCAAATTAAGCGATCTGCCCAATAAACATACATTTCAAATAAAATTTTTGCTTATTCTCAGTCATTCTTAGGTAACTAAGTTATTGTGTCATTCAAGTATGTAAAAGGAATTATAACAGCAGTGCAATGACAAAGTTGAATCAATCATTTAGAGTTACATAATTGTAAAGAAGTTTAAAGAATTACCTTAGTGTCTATATTACTATTTAAACTACAGTAGGACTTGAAATAATGGAGGAAAAGACATAAGAAAAGACAGCAACTGAGAACTTCATCTAAAATACATAGTAATTTTTATTGGCAGGAGTCTCCATAAAGAATATGATTTTCTAATACTGTAACAATGGAAATTCAAACAGATAAACTCTTCTTTTTTACTGATATCTTGGGGTTTTTCTTTGCTTTGTTTTATCATCACAAGAATTTCTCATAGTATCTCCCTCTCCCAAAGATCTATGTTGTGTAATTTTTTTTTGAAAAGGAAAAAGAAAAAAAGAATGGATAAAAGTTATCATTTCATCAAGTGTCTGAAAACGTACATTGTTCCATACCAACGGGCCTCTCATTTCTGTAAAGAGGTAAGATAGGATTATCTTCTCATATATCTCCTTTGGGCAATGTTTGTTTGTTGCAGTTTTGCAACATTTATTTTTGATTGCTTTATGATCATTATTTCCATTCACATAGTTATACTAATTGTGTTTATTGCTGTCTTGGTACTACTTACTTAACTCTGTATCCAATCATGTACATTCTCCCTCGCCTCTCTGAATTCATCATATTTGACATGTCTTACAATGTAGCAATATTCTGTTACATTTACCCATTCCCAAATGGATGAGCATTTACTTTGCTACCACAAAGAGATACTATAAATACTTAATGTATATGAGGCCTTTCTTTTTATCATGATTTCCTTGGAGTATAAACCCAGCAGTGGAAACTTTGGGCCAAAGGCTATGGACATTTTAGTCACATTATTTGCATAATAACAAATTGCTTTTCAAAATGGTTTTACTGATTCACAGTTCCACCAACAATGCACTAGTGAACCTATCTCCTCCTCTCCCCTCCCACATCAACTATTCCAATTTTAAGCGAAACATCAACATCAGCATCAGCATCCGTCTGATTCTCGTTATTAGTGATTGGAACATTATTTCATGTGGTGGTTTTTTGGTATTCTTCTGAGAACTGTTTGTTTAATCCTTTGAGCACTTATCTATTGGGGGAAGGAATTTTTATCTTTATATATAAAACGCTGCCTACATATCTGACTTACCAAACTCTTACATGAGAAAAATAATTCAAAGATTCTTCCCCTTTTTGACCGCTTCCCTTTTTATCCTAGATGCATTAATTTTGTTTGTATGGAAGCTTTTCATGTAATCAAAATTATTTATCTTTTTGTAATTATCTCTATTCTGTTCAATTAAGAATACATGTGAACTACTTCTTTCCTCATTTTTTAATAGTATGATCATTAATATTAAAGTCAGATACATTTAGAATGTATTGTGGAATACAGTGTGAAGTGTTGGTTTAAGCCTAATTTCTACCCACCTGCTTTCAAGTTTTCCCAGCAGTTTTTATCATGCAGAGAATACTTTCCTAAGTAATTTATGTTTAATGATTTATTAAACATTGGTTTATTCAGTTCCATTGTTTCAAATTCTCCCTTGTCTAGTCTGTCCCACTGATTTACTTCTCTATTTTTTAACCAATGCCATATGGTTTTGATGATTATTGCTTGACAGTATAGTTTGAAGTCCAGAAGTGCTATTTCCTCTTTGTCCGTACATCTCCATAATTTCTCTTACCATTCTAGATTTTTTGTTTGTCCAAATGAACATTTGATAAAGTTCTAAAAAGTACACCACTGACAATTTGATTGCTATGACATTAAAAATATAAATTAACTTTGGTAGTATTGTCATTTTAAAACTAATATGTACCAGACATGAGCACTAAATAGTCCTCAAGCTATTTAAATCATTAAAGAGCACCTTGTAATTTAATCTATAGAAGCCTTTTGTGTGCTTTGGTATATTGCTTCCCAGATTAAGCATTTTGTAGTAATTAGGAACGATATTTCTGTATTATTGAAAAATAATCTTGGATTTTGTTTTTATTACATAGAAATATAGTTGAGTTTTGAGGGTTTATTTTGCAGCTTGCAACTTTGCTGAAGCTATTATCTTGAATAGTATCTTTGCTGATTCCCTATGATTTCCCAAGTACAAAATCATATCATTGAAAAATATAGCAATTAAGTTTATTTTTTTTTTGTTTGGCTTCCTAATTTTTTTATAATGTAAATTCAATCCAACAGAGGCTGCTAAGGGACTCAGTGGATAGAACATTCAGCATGCAGTCCAAATCTAGCCTCAGACTATATAGCAGCTGTGTGTCATTTTCCCTCTGCCTGTTTGCTCAACTATAAAATGGGGCTATTTATAGTACCTATTTCACCAGGTTGTTGTAAGGAACAAAATGAGACAAAATTTGTAAAGAGGTCAGCACAGTACCTGGTATAGAGTATGATGTAGGGTATAGACAATAAACATTTCCTTCCTTAATTCTCTCCTTTTCTATTGTGTTCTTATATGTTTTCAGGGATATAATTTTCCCCCAAGGACTATTTTGGCTATATATTAGAAATTGTAACATGTTCATTCATCATTATCATTCTCTTTCACATAATTATTAATTGTCTCTATGATCTGCTCTTTGGTCTACTCATTATTTAGGATTTTACTGTTGTCTCCATTGGGGTCTATATCGTTTGTGATCCTTGAACTGATTACTATTTGTACTGTTGTGGTCTATAAAGGACAGTTTTCTATTCATCCCTTTTTATATTTATTTTCTACAACAACTCTGTGCCCTAATATCTAATCATTTTCTGTAAACATTCAATATGGTACTGAAAAACATGTATATTCTTTCACTTTCCCACTTAGAAGATGCCATAAGTCTAGTTTCTCCTACAATGTGTTCAACTCTATATTTTCTCTTTTGCTTATCTTTCTGTTACATTCGTCCAAAATTGAGAAAGGACATTAAAATCTGATGCTATTTTTGTATCATACTATGTTTTCTTGTAATTCAGTTAATTTTGCCTTCATGAATTTACATGTTAACATTTGGAACATACAAGATTAACACTAATATCAGTTTGTTATCTGGGAGAATTTTTTAATGGAGTTTTTTTAACTACATTTTTTAAAATGTAGTTTCCTTATTTACCTTTTTTAGTTGAGCATATTTGTTTTTGCTCTAATAGCATGATTGCTACCTCTACTTTTTTTTAAGATTCACTTGATGCCCAATGAATTTTGTTCAAGTCCTTCAATTTTATTCTGTTTATGTCTCTGCTTTTCAAGTGTGCTTCATGTAAACAACAGATTGCGAGTTTTTTTTTTTAAGACTGTGTCCATATCTCATCTAGGCTAAAAGTATAGGGACTACTCATGGATCTAATATCACTTATTATGGGCATGGGAGCTTGGACTGCTCCCTTTCTAAGCTGAGACAGGTCATCTCTCCTTGGGTGAGTCTCTAGTTCCCAGTATCTCAACAACACTTAGTGAGGATATCCAACAGGCTTAGTCCAGTGCAATTCTGAACTTCCAAGATCAAGACATCCACCAGCCTCCACCTCCAAGATGGCTGGAATTAGACATGAGTCGCTACATCCAGTGGGTTTTGATTTCTTATCCACTTCATTACTCTTGTTTTATTGAACTGTTTAATATATTAATCCATTCACATTTAAAGATATACTCTTCTTCATTTGTCTCTAACACTGTTTCCCCACCCCACTCTGCTCCTGCACCTAACTGGCAGTTGCAGTGGTTCTTGTTGTTGTTGTCTTTCTCTGTAAAGACAGCCCTTTCTCTCTTTGGTTAGTTTTGCTTACTCTATTTTAAGGAATCTTCATTCCCACAGGCTCTCTTTCCCTCAATTTTATTACCACTCTCTCCATCCCTATTTGTCACCCTTTGCCCTAGTTTTGGAGTTTTACTTACAAATTTTTTTTCATTTTTCCTTTTATCTCATTATCTAATTCTTCCCCTTTTCTTCAGGTAAGTAGTCAAGTAAAATCTGCCTTCCTCACCTCCTCATCAACTTCTTTTGTTAGTCTTTTTTTTCTAGCCCTTTTTCCCAAAACAAATTTCATTCCCTCATTCACTTCTTTAATTCTCTTCCCTTTCTGCTTATGCTAGACTTTTTATCTTTTGATCCATAATTCTTATGCTTATTTATTCTTTGCCTCCATATTTTTCATGGAATCAAGGTTTCTAAAACACCTATTTTGAGTTTCCTCTTCTATTGTTTCTATTATTCTGTTATTGCCTTATAAATCTTGCCCCCCCCTTTTTTTTTTCTGTTGTGCTTCACTCATAGAAGCATGAATTCCTGAGGAGATAAAAAGGATAGAAGTGTGCTCCATGGTAGAAATTTTCCTGGATTCTTGATTGGGCAGTTCATTTTCTTTCCCATCTTCCATGGCATTTCCTTTCTGG